ATTTCGTACCTTCAGGCTGCTTACTCATTTATCTCTGCCAGGCTGGAATGAGTCACGCTGTGATCCAGGCATCTACAGTATTCCGTTAGTCAACGACAGTAACGGCAGGTCCGATGTAGAAGCGTCTAGCAGCGCGCTGGAGCCGTTCTGTGTAATGTCTGCACCAGCTGCTGGTTTCGGCATTAAAACTTTAGTTTCTGAAGTGTGAGGCTAGGGTTCTCAGTGTGTGTTGTGTGTGTGTGTGTGTGTGTGTGTGAGAGAGAGAGAGAGAGAGAGGGAGAGAGAGAGAGGGTGGGGGGAAGAGGAGAGAGACAAAGAGAGAGGGACGAGTGAGAGATCTTGTATATGTGTGATCGCACCAAACGGGGAATCATTCACTCTTTATTGTACCCAGATATACCAGAGGTTGATGATGCGCCTACATGCTTGATATCTCATTTTTCCTCTCTGTTTGTGTGCATGTTTGCGCGTTTTTGCATGCGCAACGGTGACCAAGATAAAAATAAAAAGATCAAAAAAAAAAAAAAAAACTATCTCAAGCTGCTCATTTACTCAAAGGATAGGACAGAAAGATTTAATATTCTACTTCTGCTTGACCAGTTCTGATGTAGATGCAACTCTTGCCCGACAAACGAGGTGTCCCATCCCAGTTTTTGATATCCAATAGGATATTGTTAATGTTCGCATCTTGCTTACGGGTTTGTTTAGTTTTTCAGCCCCAACTTGAAAGGTCTTGTCAAATCTATCGGGGTAAAAAGTAAAAAGTAAAGGACCTTTAAAAGACCTTTTCCCTGAAAATTGGGCAAATATATCTAGACATATATTTTATAGACCAATCGGTACTCGGTGGGTGATGTGGTCAGGATCGCGCCGGCCGCCTTTACTTCCCAGGATTATATTTGGTACTACTCCTCAAATGGACCCCGGAACCCACAAGTAAAGTTTACGAATTCTATCATTATTCACTTAAAGAAATTAGTTTCTAATATCCTTTACGGCGCCTGATAGGTGATATCCCAAGTCTTATCTCCGACATATCAGCGCTTGTCTTGCATCATCCCCTGACTTATCTGTAAGCTATTTCTTATTCTAGACCCCATATTATAACTAATACACTTATCGGATAGTGCCTGTCCTACTACTGGAAAGGAAGATGGAGTACTGCCATAGAGATAAATCTGCAGGCGACGACCATCGTTTGCTGAAGGAAATCTCCTTAACTGCCGTGAATGTCGGTGCCTCTGCGGTTGCGCCGAGATATCTGCTCTTCCGTTTCCTGTGCCGTGTCTAACTGACACCCGCATGTATAGTGTGCCAAAGTAAAATAATTCAACGTGGAAATGCTACACCCCAAGGACAGAAGATAAAAGCATAATTCCTTGGCATTAAGCAGAAGCCACCTACATTTTGAGAAAATCACGTTTGAACATTAAATGGCAAATGAGAATTGTGTCAGACTATAGATAGACACTGCCTGTATTGACCACATTTGTAGTGTAGGGCATCAGGGAAAGAAGGGGGGGGGGGGTGTTGGAAGGTTGTGCTTTGTTTGAGCTTGAGGATTTAGGACCGCAAGGCTAGTGCTATCAACACACACTGCTCACGATAGGATTTTATTTATGCCCCCGACAGAAACGAAATCCAAATCCTTACTGATGATTCCAGTTCCAACCCGGGAAGTGTGTAATGGCATGAAAAGTAATACTTGAGCCAGGGGACGGCAAGAATGCTCATCTTCATATCTGACTCTTGTCTTCCCGGGCTTCTTGTTTCCAAGTTACCAGTTAATCTTATTTTGTCGTTTGGCTCCACTGCACTTAAATAACCTGTCTTGAGTCCCCGTCTCTCATTGAGAGTGATAACTGCCTTGTCTTGCGTGTAGTGTGTACTCATAAACGCATACTATTTTTGTACTGTTTCTACTGTTGCAACTAGGAAACATACACATGCGTGTTCGAAAGCCGTCTTTTGTTGACTGTTGACTGACAAAGGAAGTCATGTCACCCTTCTCCATTGTCATTTGTATAAGCTTTTATTGTGTTCTGTTTTGTATGTTTGCTAATCTGGGTGAAAAATTCGGTCGATTTTTTTCACCAGTTTATGATAAGCGTTTGAGCTCACATGGTTCATATACACGCTTTGTGATGCCAGCTATATAAGGTGCCAATGTAGTCCAAATAAATGTAAACATAAAAAGCATAATAAATATGTGTATGACATGTCTCATGGATCGTTTGTACGCTAGCATGAAACTACACGGTCAACAATAAATTTTAAGGTTGAATAATTTGATTACTAACATGATGTTATGAATAAGACAAACATAACACTTTATAAATTGTGTTTTTATACAATTTACTGGGACAAGATTCAAACAATTGTCTTTACAAATATCATCTACAGTAATCAATAAGACGCCCCTTTCTTTCTTTCTTTCTTTCTTTCTTTCTTTCTTTCTTTCTTTCTTTCTTTCTTTCTTTCTTTCTTTCTTTCTTTCTTTCTTTCTTTCTTTCTTTCTTTCTTTCTTTCTTTCTTTCTTTCTTTCTTTCTTTCTTTCTTTCTTTCTTTTCTTTCTTTCTTTTCTTTCTTTCTTTCTTTCTTTCTTTCTCTTTCTTTCTTTCTTTCTTTCTTTCTTTCTTTCTTTCTTTCTTTCTTTCTTTCTTTTTCTTTCTTTCTTTCTTTCTTTTTCTTTTTTCTTTTCTTTCTTTCTTTCTTTCTTTCTTTCTTTCTTTCTTTCTTTCTTTCTTTCTTTCTTTCTTTCTTTCTTTCTTTCTTTCTTTCTTTCTTTTTTCTTTCTTTCTTTCTCTCTTTCTTCTTTCTTTCTCTTCTCTTTCTTTCTTCTCTCTCTTTCTTTCTCTCTTTCTTTCTCTCTTTCTTTCTCTCTTTCTTTCCTCTCTCTTTCTTTCTCTCTCTCTCTCTCTCTCTCTCTCTCTCTCTCTCTCTCACACACACACATAACTGCTGTGGAAAAGATGGTAGGGCTGAATGTAAGACAGGCCTGTGTGCCTAATTTGTGACCCTTTGAAAATAAAGTTCGTTCGTTCGTTCTCTCTCTCTTTCTCTCTCAGTATTATAAAATCATCCACAGTACAAGTTAGCAGCAACATAATTAGGATTGCAGGTTCAGTAGTAGTAAGAGAAGCGGTAACAGCATCATCAGCAGTAGCAGCAACACTTGAGCAGCAATGGTTGTTTTTGTCTGTGTGTGCATCTGCCCATCTCCCAGGTGGATCCCCAGGAGCTATTTGATCTTCTGACATGCCGGGAAAACTATCAAGTAAAGCCTCAGTAAAACAAGTACAATCTGTCCACGAGCTCTGATTCAACATTTGTCGCTGGCAAACATCACCAGGAGACTCGGCAGTGACGGAGGAAATCCCTTCTTGTATTGACTGTCTCCACAAGTGACGGGGATTTAGTATTGATCTGGCACAGAGCCGGGTCACTATCAGGTTACATAAGCAGATCTCAGAGGCCCTGGGCGGAAATTAATTGCTTCATTTTCAGGATTAGAGATTGTCATGAGACAATGGTCAATATGTTGTCTGAATTGGTCATTTTATTGTCTTTTTTTCCTAGTCGCCCATCTTCATCAGCAAGTACTTCTTTCTTTCGAGCCGTTTGTACAATGTATCGCCCTTTATGATTCTCCATTGCTTGTGTGGGTCACATCCACAGAAGACGCCAGCCGAGAAAAACCAAACAAGATCTACACTTGGAAACAAATGGATCGAGGAAACGAACACGTCCAGGAGAAATCATAAAAAGAAAGTTGATGAGCGAGACCGACGGTTCTGGGCTTGATATAATCCATGTCGTTGAAAGGGTTGTATAGGATACAGCAGAGTTGAGGACTAGAATTCGAGCCTGGTGTGACATATAATGGCACAGCATGATGCTGGTGTTGATAATGATGGTTTGTTTAATTTATCGATTAGTGAATGCTTGAACAACTCCACAGGTCCGACGTATTCATATCCCGGACGTTTGAGCATTTGTACACAAATCATTTGCTGCATTGAAATCTTTGCGGACCCTTTTCTACGCCTTTGGACATGTAGGGCTAGACCTATATTGTTATAAACCAATAGGCATTAGGTGGGTGATATGGTCAACATCACGCCGGCCGCCTTTGATTCCAAGGACTTCACCTGGTACCCACTTACGGCTGGGTTGACCTAGGAGCTGGGTCATTTTTTTGAGAAAAAAAACACCCATACGGCTCCTCCAGGACTCGAACCCAAGACCTTAGGATCCACAGGCAATCATCTAGCCGCTACACAACAGCGGCTGCCTCATATTCCGAGGGTACTCAGTGAAAGATAGGAATCTGGACAGTTTAACATCATGGCATACCAGAAAATCTGTGTCAGAATTGAGTGAAAGTACACGAGACAAGTTTGTGGAAAGATATGAAGTCCAGCGTCATTCGACTTGGACTACAAGAAGAGTTAGTACAAGTACACCTGTCAACCGGCCGACCCAGTCTGTACACGAACACGGGATCTTAAGAACGTCAGGCTAACAGCTTACCCACTTACCCTCCCTTCCACACACATCCTAAGTTTTCTTTTTGCAGTGTATTGTGTTCTCCACTTTGTAGTTCTGTAGGCCATCTATCCTTGGCAAATTCCTTTTAAAGTTAGAGTAGAGAGGATCGACTTCACAACACCGGGTTTTATCCCATATGGCTGGGTCTCTGTCCGCAGAACGACTAGCTGCCTGCCGAGAACGCTGCGCAGAGCACGAATTCCGTAGCTTCGTGGACAATCCCTAGTGGTCTCCATAAAAATTGCACTCGTGAACTGAAGAGTTTAGCCGTGAAACAAACCCACGACCTTCTGAGCGCGAGGCTAACGGCTTGACCACTTCAACTCGAAGACCCCCGAATTCCTCTTAGTGTGGCATGATACATTGCATTAGCAGTATCTATTGTTGTGCAGAGCTTTTGACTTTGGTATACCACTCGCTGTAAAGGTTGTTTATCTGATACTTTCCAGGCATCAGACATCCCGAAGAGCTGTCGTTTATGAGAAAATGGGACAAGGATGACTTAAAGAAGGTGGCCAAAGAAGTACACAAGAGGAAAAAGAAAGGTGATCCCGATGCCAACGGGCCGCTGAGTGCTAACGGAACTCACCACAATTCACAAGGAAGCCTGGATGGTGGCAAACTGAGCCCTTATCCCAACAGGAGTCCTATCGGCCCGTCACCTAACGTAAGTTGTTTCCCCTTCTCGTCTTCTCCTAGCTCTTTACTCTTTTTTTTTTAAAGTGCCGATCACTGTGTGTCCGTTTATTTCTTATACTCCTTCTCTTGTGCTTCTCGGTCGATTGTGTTGCGTCCTTTCCTGTGATGCTCCATCTGTTGTTTTTAATTGCGCTCTCATGTCTTTTCATTTGTTTAGTTTCTCCTGTCTCTTTTCTCTTTATTGTTTACCACATTGGTCTTTTCCCAAAATTTTGTTTGTTTTGCTTTTCGTTCTTTTCTTTTTTTCTCACTATCTTTGTTTTTTTTCTAACACATACGCTTTTCTTTATCTGTTTCATTAAAGCACATTGTTTCCCCACCCAGATAGTCTGTCTGCCAGTCTAGTTTCCCCATATCATTTATGTACATCTGTTTTGTTTTTCTTTCCATTAATTGCTGCGACTGCTCTCCCCCCCCTCCTCAGTCTTCCTTTTTTGTCAGTAATATATATATTCACCTGTTTTGTACATCCACCTCTTTTGCATCTCAAGCTGTTTTCTCCCCCCCCCCGGATGCTCCTACTACCACCACCACCACCACCACCACCACCACCACCACCACCGCTGCTGCTACTACTACTACTACTACTACGACTACGACTACTACTACGACTACTACTACTACTACTACTACTACTACTACTACTACTACTACTACTACTACTACTACTACTACTACTACTACAACTGCTGCCACTACTACTACTACTGCTGCTACTAATGCTGCTGCTGCTGTCACCACCACCACACAGCGTCTGAGCTAGTTATGCAATCAGAAGACAGCATTCCTGACTTAGTAATCCATCTAAAAAAAGTTTACTTCTAATTAATAAACCTTCCTTCGATGTCGGAGTGCATTTGCCTGAAAGGCAAGGAACAAATAGGCACATCAATAAGTTACATCTGTAAAACGGATGTACACGCAACACTTAAGGCCACGTGCCAGACGTGGACTAACGGCCAGGACTTGCCCTTGGAGTTTGCAGCTGGCAAATGCTAAGAAGACGAGTCAATTCTTTTGTCTCAGGAGATGCCAGTGAAGAAATTTCCATGATTAAAATTCACGAGGGCTCATTATTTTCAAAACAGTAATATAACAGTAGTAGTGACCACTGGGCAAGCCAGATTTCTTTAGTGTGTTCTGACCAAATACAAGAAATTAGAACACTGTAAGCTAGAGAGGGGGTTCAGCAGGTAGAGTGATTCATATATTATGCGTTGTTTAAGACACAGAGTTAAAACTCCATCTCTTTTCCCCCATTATTGCCAACCAGTACCTCCACATGGGCCCGATTTCGCCACGACAATATATTTCTAAAAAAATCTTGTCGTTTTACGTTTTTATGTCTTGTCGTTTTACCTCTTTATGTCTTGCCGTTTTACCTCATTATGTCTTGTCGTTTTATCACTTTATGTCTTGTCGTTTTACGTCTTTATGCCTTGTCGTTTTAGCACTTTATGTCTTGTCGTTTTACCTCTTTATGTCTTGCCTTTTTACCTATTTATGCCTTGTCGTGTTATCTCTTTATGTTTTGTCGTTTTACCTCTTCACGTCTTGTCGTTTTAACTCTTTATGTCTTGCCGTTTTACCTCTTTATGTCTTGTCGTTTTACCTCTTTATGCCTTGTCGATTTACCTCTTTATGTCTTGCCGTTTTACCTCTTTATGCCTTGTCGATTTATCTCTTTATGTCTTGCCGTTTTACCTCTTTATGCCTTGTCGTTTTACCTCTTTATTGTCATTTTTCTGCAATCTTTTGGTTGTCTGTAATCCACAGAGCACACTGATACGGTCGGCAAACAGCCCCTATAACCTGTCCACATCCATCTCTGGATACAGCACATTCAACGGCACTGTGTCGCCGGGCTCCATGCACAGTCTCTCGTTTGAAGGCATCATGGAGTCATCTCTAGCCAACTCGCCGCCAGTCCCAGCCAAAGAAGCCTTCCAATACTTGTACCGACCAAAGAACTTCGCAGAGAAAGCCAGAATCAACTGCGCGTGAGTTTATCATTAACTGTTTGTACAAGTCGAAGTCGACTGCGCGTGTATGTCATAACTTGGTGGACAGGAAAGAAAGCAAAGAAAAAAAGAAAGGAAAGGAAAGAAAGAAATGAAAAGAAAAGAAAAGATTTAAAAAAAAGGAAAGGGAAAAAAAAAAGAAATAAGGAAAGGAAGTAAGAAAAACAAGAAAACGAAAGGAAGAAATACCGAAAGAAAGAAAGAAAGAATAGAAAGAAAGAATAGAAAAGAATGAAGACAGAAAGAAAGAAGAGAGTCAACATGAGTCTGGCATTAACTATATTTGATGTATTTGGTGATACACACAATCTGTTTGTTAACCTGCTGATGTTGACCAACCCCCACCAGGTGGCTGGACTCCTCCACCTCCCTCATGGAACAGGGCGTCCGGGAGAATGACTTCATCATGCTCAAGTTCAAGTTTTACAACTTCTACGACCTTAACCCCAAGGTCAGTACCCGCTCGCACGTTCTGGAATTGCCTTTGACCTTCAGCTTTTGCCTCTCTCGCGCGCAGTCTAGCTGTTTTTGTTGTAAATCTCATTTCTGGTTTCGTTGGCTGTAAATGTGCATTTTGTTTTTTTTTTTCTGTTTGTGTGTTTGTCATTTCCCTTGATATTTATTGAGGCGGGAGAAAGCGGACACGAAGGGTCAAAGGAACCGAAATTCTGCAGTGCAGGAAGAAGAAGCAAATGAAAGCAAGAAAGAATGCACGCTTGGAATGTCCCAAATGAGTGACGCATGACGGGAGTTATCTAATCTCTTTCATTTCTCACATTCTATAACCCCTCAGTGACCTCAGGGAGAACGGACAACCGGCACCTTTGTAGATGTGTGCTTGCTGGCTTTGAATGCATCTTCCATCTGTTGGCTAGATTGTTGTGATTATATTTTGCTCCGTAATTCTACAGCATCCATTACTGGAGATGCCGTGGTTCTTGTGTACTTCGTCACCACATCGCGTGAGATTTAGAGAAGTCCCATAGTATGCGGGGGGGGGGGGGGGGGGGGGGGGGGGGGGGGGGGGGGGGTTAATATTAGGGCTAGCGTTAAATTAATAGCAGATACGATGCTTTATTAAAATCCTACCCCCAGATGACGTCACAGGAAAGTCCAACATTTTAGAGGGTGGTAAGACTGGGTTTCCCAGCTTTCTGATGCTTATAACGACCGCAAAACATCTAGAACTGGCCCTAACACCAACGCACCTACGTCCCACAAGAGAGTGCAGCCTAGGTCCCACAACTGCATGCAGCCTATCTACCACCCCCTGAAATATTAGACTGTCCCTTGACCTGTGGATTTCCCCTGTTTGGGGTAGGATAATAACAAAACACCGCGAATACTACTAATTCTAACCACCATAAATCTCCAAATCCGTGGGATTTCCCCAAATCTCGCGTGATGAAAATGACTTAGCAGAAAATAAACGATGCCGTGTTCTGATACTGATACTTCTAAACTATGTCCGCATCGACACTCTAGCACTTCGGTCAGACATATTTGTGCTCCGTCCTCCTACCCAGCAGCCGCCTTAGCGTCTCCGTGCTCACCGTAACCCAGTAGGAGCTGATGGGCATATCTCTGTAACCGGTTTTTGTACGTTCGTGCTGGTTTAATACCTGTTTGCAAGAGGCGGTTCGTCGTCACAATCTCCCGTCTTCTTAGTGTCTCTGGAACTTAAAAGTTTTGAGACTTGATTCCCTGTGTCGGTCATGGGGCCCCAATTGAGAGAGAGAGAGAGAGAAAAAAAAAGAATAGACTCACTGTCCTCTAACAAGCATGTCCTATAAGGCAACTAATTAGGAGTATTTTTTTTTAAAATCGAAGTCGGAGTGCATCTGAGGTGAGGAGCCAACATTCTGCCTACAAATATGCCAGATCTATAAAACAGATGTACATGCAGAACTCACGTTCCTCCTATTTTATAACTTATTTATCTGTATATCATTTTATCTGCATATACCTCTTGTATCTGTCTCTCGCTCTTATCTGTACACATCTTATCCACATATCCATCTTACTCGTATATCGCCAATAATCTGAATATTCCTCTCCTCTGAATCTCTCTTGGTCCTGTTCACATTAGAGCCCATTGTTGCGAGCAGCGCGGCCTGCACTCATGCACACGCGATGTCGGGCTCGTTATCTTGGCCTGAAGAATCCCGGGAAATACAATTCTACTTTTGTGTTGTCGCATGCGGGTTGTATCAGGATATCGCTGTTTACAGGTCAGATATTGGAGGCTACAAGCTGTCCCGGGTGGTATACAGTTAGAAGTTCAGGTTGTGGGAGTGGGGGGGGGGGGAAGGGAGCGAGCAGGTAGTGTGCTAGGGTAGAGGGAAGCTACATGTAGTGCATGGGTGGAGGGAAGCTACATGTAGTGCTAGGGTGGAATGAGGAAAGGGAGGCAGTTTTGAGAGGGGATAAGCTAGGTGGGGGAGATAAGAGAAGATACACACACACACGCAGAGAAAAGGAAAAAACAGGGGGGGGGGGGGAGGTGTTAGTAACAAGACAGGAAGTTATGAAGATAAAAGGATATAAAACATATACGCATGCTCTCTTCTCTCTCTCTCTCTCTCTCTCTCTCTCTCTCACATACTTTTCCCCGGCATATAAAGTAGCAATAACAATGGCAGAAATAGCATGTCCAGGGAAATGAACACTACTGTCAAGAATATATAAAACAGCCATACCTGCTTTCAGCCATTCACGAGATCAGTCGACTAAAAGACCGATGTTCCTCAGCAGATCTCTTCAGCAACACGAGAACCTTTCACCCTGAGTCCCTGCATGCTTATGTGATCTATGAGGGGAAGTCAATAAGTAGGACACACATGGTTGTTTAAAAGGGGAAAAAACTGAAGACTATAACAACTTGAAAACCGTTAATTTTCACACAAACACCGTTCCTTTATTTGTAACAATTTCTACTAACACTGATGCACTTGAACCATCATTTTATCAGTCCTGTCCAACCGGCTGCATAGAATTGCGTTTTTCACATTTTCACTTCACATTCAACTTTTGCGTCTTTCGCGAAATGTCATCCACCAAGGTGGGTTTTCAGTGGACCTGAAATATGGAAATCGCTAGGGGCTGTCAGGGCTGTAAGGTGGATGCTCTAGGAGTTCCATCCCTAGATGGTTAATTTCACTTGAGTTAACCGTGCCAACTGTGGTCTGGCATTGTCACGAAGGAGCAGTACTCCTCTAGTCAACAGGCCTGGGCATTTTCTTCGAATTGCATCATGAAACATCGATTAAACTTTACAGTATGAATCAGCATTCTCATTGCTACCTCTTTTTTTTCCCTCTTTAATTGGTAAAAAGCACTCCTTGACAATTCCAGAACACTGTCAGCATTACCTTTCCTGCTGATGGCGTAACCTTGAATTTTTGAACACAAGTCGAAGAAGGATGTTTGCATTGCATTGAAGAATGTTTCCATTGCATTGATTTGTGCTGGTAGTGATGCACGCACAATTCATTCGCAGTAATAATTCTGTTCAGCATGTCTTTTACTTCATTTTATACTTCACCGTCCGTCAATTCTCTTGGCACTGAGCAGACTTTCTTAAATTTCAATCGATCATGCGTTATTTTGTATGCTGAACCAAGTGAGCACCCTAATGCAGCAGCTACAGAGTCAACCGTTACTCGCCTGTCACCTCTAATTATCTCCTCCACCCGCTACACGAATGCATCTGCTGCAAATACAGGACGACCAGATCAGACTTCATTAACAATTTTAGAGCATTTCGGAGATTTTTTTTACGCAACTATGCGCATGTTTACGGGATTAACATTTGTCAGCATAAAGAGGAAACATTTTCTTATGAAATGTCCTTTGCAGACCCCTCCTCCCCCCCCCCAAAAAAAAAAGAACAACAGCACGTTGTTTTTTTTGAAGGTACACTCGCCATTTTGTTGCTGCGTTGCGAATGTGCATCAAACACCTAGCACCACCTAGCAAACAGAGACATAAAGTTCGATGTTGCTATCACTTTATGACACCTTTAGAAACCACCTACATTTTCCTGCCATCCCGTAACCATTTTTAACCCCCACTCTCAGCCCCAGCAATAGGGACAGGAAACCCACGTTGGGACAATATTTCAACAATAACCAGACCCTCATAGTTTATTCTTGGGACAAAGACATCTTTGTACGCCTTTGGCAGATGACACTTGACTAGTGTGTGTGTGTTTTTTTTTTTTAAGATCAGTCGGGACTAGGTGGGTGTCATTGTCCTTCACATCACGCTAGTTTTTTTTTTTAGTATGTTTTTTTTTTTTAATGCATCTTCTACATTGACTACACATTTGTTTTTATTTGGTCTCATTTCTATCCACATTTTTCTTCATTCTGCCAGAACGCTACATCTTAATAGCTGCCATGTTGTTTCATAATTCTTTGTTGACTGCCCAAATTTGTGTTTATCTGGTCTGATTTTTCTCCCATTCTACTAGAACACGACATTTTAAAAGCTGCCGTGTTGTTTCATAATCTTTTGTTGATTGCTTATGCTTCATAGCAGTATAGTGCTATGGGCCAGATATGCGTATCGATAACTAGTCTCCGCAGCTCAGTATTGATGTTTTCAATGTTTGCTTCCTGTGGGGTCGCCACTGCGTCTGCTGGCCATAGTTTTGATGATAATACACGTTATTGTCTCACTGATTTTCAGGCTGGAGCTCGACTTGTTGTTCTTTTATTGAGTGCCGTTTTCCCCCCCCCCCCCCCCCCTTTTTTTTTTTTTACAAATTAATAACCCTTTAACAACAGTTAAGATATTCAAAATGCATTGAAACGGACATGCAGTAAGATATACTGGCCTCTCCAGAACAATACTATAGAGGGCTAGGGTAGGAAGGAGTGGCAAACCAGGGATGACATGGGTATATCATTAGCCTGAATGGAAGGGCGCTAACAGATTGATTGAGTTGATGGATGGATGGATCGATAGACGGACTCGTGG